TTAGAGGAAATTTTGTTTATCAGGGGAATATTTGCAAAGGTCCAAGGGCCGTGCAATTACCCAGGACTGTTGCAGCAGGACTGTTGGCATTCTCGGGTCCAAAGGGGCCAAGCAAGGAAGCCGTGACCTGTACATGGAGTAGAGTCACGTGGAACTGCCCACCTGGAGAGGGGCAGTGACCTTCCATCAGGGGCACAGCTGGTGTCAGGGAGGGAGTGAAGGAGTTAATGCTGTGACCTCCCTGCTCCTCTCCGCCCCCTGCTGGGCTTGCCATTGGTGGAACCCAGGAGGAGACATGACTCATGTCAGCCTCTGGGGTAGATAGTGGGGCAGAGGACAATGAGGGGCACATGATTTTCCAGCACAGAAAGTACCAAGGTGCCCTCTCTTAGCTTATCCTGCACAGGTGTTCTGGATCCTCTTGTATTATTTTCTGGTCTTGTGGTGTCTCTGCAAACATCTAGGAAAATGGGACAGTATTTCCATCCTGTTGTGTGACGACATAGTGCATTTGCTTTTCCATATTTAATCTAAATATACTTATTACTTTATCTTTTTTTTAAAAAATAGGTTTTTTGTGTTAAAGTGTATAATTTTAGGAATTTTATTATATTCACAGAGTTGTGCATCTATTACCATAACCAATTTAAGAGTATTTTCATCACCATGACAAAAACCTTTCACCCCATCTTCTTTGGTCCTAGGTAACACTAATCTACACTTCTTTCATATTGTTTCAATATTATCGTATTTGATTTGTTTTTCTTTCTTTTATTGTCGGGATTCATTGAGGGTACAAGATGTGTCACACACTGAGACCCCACCACCCTCCCTCCTTCCTTCTCTCTGTTCTTCCTCTCTCCCATCCTCCTCCCTCCTTCCCTCCCTCTGCTCTCCCCTTTCCCCACCCCCACCATGTCATTAATTGTCATTAATTGTCCTCATATAAAAATTGAATACATCAGATTCATGCTCCTCCATTCTTGTGATGCTTTGTTAAGACTAATGTGTTCCACTATTTTTCTTTTAATTTATTTTTAATTTTAGTTATTATAGGAGTACAATCTTTTGTTACATGAATCTCTTTTGTCCAGTGTATGTCAAAGTTGTAAGTGTGCCCATCACCCTGATAGTGTCACTGTACCTGTTAGGGTTGAACTTGCCCCTTCTGTAGTCCCCCATCCCACCTGCTTGCTTTCTCTTTAATTTTACTACCAAATGTGCACATGGGTTTTGATCAATTAGTTACCGTTTAATAGTGAGTCCATGTGGTGTTTGTTTTTTGGTTCTTGCCATACTTCACTTAGAGGAATGGTCTCCAGTTCCGTTCAGGTTGTTACGAAAGTTGCTCATTCACTATTTGTTTTTTTAATGGCTGAGTAAGTACTATGTGGTATACATGTACCAAATTCTATTAATTTACTCATGTATCAATGGGCACTTCTGTTGTTGCTCTATCTTTACAATTCTGAATTAAGTTGCAATAAACATTTGAGTGCGGGTGTCTCTTTGATAAAATGATAAAATACCCAACACTGGGATTGCTGGGTTAAATGTTAGGTCTACTTTTAGTTCCATAAGTTGTCTCTGTATGACTTTCCACAGAGGTTGTACTAGTTTGCAGCCCCACCGGCAGTGTATTAGAGTTTCTTTCTCTCTGAGGTATGCCAGCATCTATTGTTTGGGGATTTTTTTGACAAAAGCTATCCTGACTGGACTTGGGTGGTATCTTATTGTGGTTTGGTTTTGCACTTCCCTAATGATTAGAGACATTGAGTATTTTTTTCATATGTTTATTGGACATTAGTCTATCTTCTTTTGTAAAGCTTCTGTTCATGTCTATTGACCATGTTTTTATGGAGTTGTTTGTTCATTTTCCTTGCTGATTGGCTTGAGTTCTTTATAGACCCAGGTTATCAGCCCTTTAGTAGATGTATAACATGCAAATATTTTTCCCATTCTGTATGTTGTCTAGTTACTGTATTGATTGTTTCTTTGGCTGTGCAGATTTTTAATTTAGTCAGTTTCCATTTGTTAATTTTTGTTGCTATAATTGCCTTTGAAGTCTTCTTTATAAATTCCTTGTCTAGGTAAATGTCTATAAGAGTTTTCCAGAATTTTCTTCTAGAATTCTTATGGTTTCATGTCTTAGGTTTAAGTCTGTTATCCATCTTTAACTAATTTTTGTGAGTGGTAAAAGGTGTGGCTCCTGTTTTAGTCTTCTACGTGTGGCTGTCCGATTTTCCCAGTGCCATTTATTGACTAGGGATCCTTTTCCTCATTGTGTGTTATTCTCTGCTTTGTCAAAGATCAGATGGTAGTATGAGGATGGTTTTATATCTGGGGTCTCTGTTCTTGTCCATTGGTCTATGTCTCTGTTTTGTGCCAGTACCTTGCTGTTTTGATTCCTGTAACCTTGTAGTATAACTTGAAGTTGGTAAAGTGATGCATCTTGATTTGTCCTTTTTGCTTACAGTTGCTTTGGCTATCTGGGCTCTTTTATGGTTCCATACAAAGCATAGAATTATTTTTTCTAGATCTGCAAAAAAAATGACTTTGGTATTTTAATGGGGATTACATTGAATCTGTAGATCACTTTGGGTAGTATAGACACTTTAACAATGTTGATTCTGCTGATCCATGAGCATAATGTCTTTTTTCCATTTGTTTACATCCTCTGCAGTTTCCTTTCTCAGTGATTCATAGTTCTCCCTGTAGAGGTCTTTTATTTCCATGGTCAAACATATTCCTAGGTATGTTATTTTCTTTGTTGCAGTTATGAAAGATATTGCATCTTTGATTTGATTCTCAGCTTGACTGTTGTTGATGTCTAGGAATGCTATCGATTTATGAATATTGATTTTGTAACCTGAGACTCTGATTAATTTATTCATCATTTCCAGAACTTTCTTGGCAGAATCCTTGGGGTTCTCTAGATATATGATTATATCATCAGCAAAGAGTAATAATTTGACCTCATCTGTCCCCATTTGAGTATCATTGATTTCCTTCCCTTATCTGATTACTCCAGGTAGGACTTCCAACACTTTGTTGAATAGACGTAGTGACAGTGGGGAATCTTGTCTAGTTCTAGATCTAAGCAGGAGCAAGACTGTAGTTAAGGGGGAGGAATCTGAGGAAGGAATACCTTATCTTTTAAGATATATTTGTATATTTTTCACATGACTTGGTAAACCTCCCTAAACTAAAAAAAAATTATATGTGTAAATTTTTTTTAATTTTTAATTTAATTTTTTATACTAAAACATTATACATACAAAACTCCTAATGCATGTTCATTCCTATGCAGTTAAACAGAACTTTGACCTGGAGGAGTACAGCCTCTCACAGTCTACCCTGGAGCAGGTGGGTCACTGTTAGTGACTTTAGATCATCCATGGTATATAAGTATTTCTTCATGTGTGCAAACTGCACTCATTTGGAGCAGTAGAAGACAGCTTGACATCCCTCTACTTTAATTTTTTTTTTTCCATTACAGGTTTTCCTGGAACTCTCCAAGGAGCAGGAGTTGGATGATTTTGATGAAGAAATTGATCCTTCAGTAAAATGGAAGCTCCTTCCACAGGACGAAACTTAAAGCTTTATATATATATACCCCATCTTTCTTGTTAAATGTATAACTCTTTTTAAGACAATATTTTGTAGCATTAATGTACCTTATCTCTTACATGATACTGAATACTTTTGAGAGTCATGGCATAATTTTTCCACTTAGTTTTTCTCAGAGCAGGATGAGGGGTGGCGTCAGTGAGGGAAATGGCAGAGCACCAGACTCCAACCAGCATCCAAGACCCATGTTTCACACAAGATTCAGCTTTAAGATGCATTTATTATAGGATTGTTTACATTTCTAAAAATGATAGAGATTGTTTAATTATCTTTCTCTGAACTTCAGATTGTTGAATATTTTCTTAGTTTTTTGATGAAAGTATAAATTAAGACATCAGTTTTATTTTAGGGAAAAGGGGAATCAATTTTTTACATAGCAGCACAGTATACATTCTTTGTAATTCTCTTTTTTTAACCTGTTGTTAATCCACTAATTTTTCTTTCCCATCATTTTATACATGTTAGATTGTAGAGTTCATGTTTTTTGTTTGTCATAGCTATAAAGGAAATTTGTAAACTATTAAATTAGAAAATTGAAATAAGAATTTGAATAATCAAATGAGTGAAAATTTAAAAAATATTTAAAATATTTAAAAAATATATATTGTGTGTAAGAGTTTGAGATATATTTCTAATTTTATGTTTCTTATGATACAAGGCTCTACTCTTATGCAAAGCACAAAGATCACATCATAGATCATAACTTCCTGTATGTATGTTTGTTTGGACCTATCCAACTGGTGATTCTATAAACACCTCAATGTAAACACAATATACTTGTACATTCTTTAAGTGAGTTGTTGATACTACTGTTCTTTTGTTGTTGATACTACTATTATGATTGCTAACTAATCGAACATTTGAAGGAAGATATGTGAAAGATCTTTATTTTGATACTACTCATTTCTTGTATCCTCTTAGTTTATGAAAGTAAAATATTGCCATTAACCTATGAGAATACTTCTATGAGACTTTGGAAAAAAATTTACAGATTTTTTATTTTAAGAAGAAGACATTGACCAGGAACCTTAACTCACACCTATAACACCAACACTTTGGGAACCTGTGATAGGAGGATCACTTGAGACCAGGAGTTCAAGAGCAGCCTAAGCCACATAATGAAACCCATTTCTACAAATAAATAAGTCAGCAAATAAGCTGTGTGTGATAGCATGTCCCTGTGGTCCTACCTACTCAAGAGATTGAGGTGAGGTGGCAGGATCACTTAAGCCTAGGATTCACAGTCACAGCATGGGAACAGAGCAAGACCAACTATGACTGCACACCAGCATGGGGACAGAGCAAGACCTTGTCTGAAAAGAAAAAAAAAAAAGAAAAAGAGAGAGAGACAAAGACATTAATATTGGTCATATTGATTCACTTGACTCTTACAAATCACAAAGGAGATAAATGTTGAAAACTGTAGTTCACTTTACTTATATTATGGGTAAAGTAAAATGTTTCTTGCAATGAACCAACTTGTTGAAGACTATGCCATTATCATTGTACATAAGCCTTGCTCCTAAATAAGACATCATTTTTTAAGACTTGATTTAACAGGACTAATGGTACTCATTAGACTGAGGACTTCAGTGAAGCATTTTTCAACAAGAAGGTGTGGATATGCTACAATTCAGAAGCTGACCAAGAGATGCTTATGCCATGTTAGTATTCTGAGAGTATGTTCCCAAAGCTAAAAAAAAAAAAAAAGAGAGAGAGAGAGAGAAGAAAAGCAATGCTAATAATCTTAATGAGAGTTTGTCAAGTAAAGGATTTATATATAACAGTTCTGCGAAAGAAACTGAAAGAGTAAACTTGTGCCACATAGAATTTCAGATAAACAGTAATTTTAGTAGCCTAGTATAGTAATGGCAATGTTATCATTTATAAGAAGTCTAAATATACATTATCTGCCAGATTCTGTACATATATTATTTTATGCAGGCCTCACAATATTATTACCAATAAATATTCTTATTCATATTTGCCACTGTGGGAGATAGAATTTCTAAAATGGCTCAGTAAAGGTGCCCTTGCCTTACCTCTGGACCCCATAAAGATGATGTGTTATTATACCATTGTCTCTGTTATGCTGCACAACACATGTGACATTAGGGCAGAAAGATTATCTGTGTGGCCTGATCGTATCATCTTTAACGGTAGAGAGCTACTTCCAGCCAGTGGCAGAAGGGAAAGTCATAGGGACTTGAAACAGGAAGGGGACTTGCTATTCTGTGTCTGTCTTTGAAGATAGTGGGACCACATGAGGAGAAATGAGGGTGCTTCTGCTGTGGTAGGTGAGAGGGGCCAAACCAAAGGGGAAAACTGAGCTGCCATCGAGCACTTTGTGGGATCAAGATACTGAGACTGTTGAGATTTGAGGGCTTCTTACAATGACAGTTAGCATTACATTGATTAGTACAGTAGTTTATGTATCAGTCAGAATGGTTAAGAGTGAAACACAGAGCACGTGTTTCTCATGCAGGGCTCTGATGCAATTGCCAGAGATTTTCATGCGGTCTGATGCTGCCTGTCTCCGCCCTGCCAGGGTGCCCCTTCTTGCCATCTTCTTACAAGTGTGCCTGTGATGACTCCCTGACTGGTTGACATATCCTTCCTCTCAGTCCATCTGCACCCACATCCTCAAAGTGTCCATCCACGCAATGCTACCTTGTCTACTATTGATGCTAATATAAACATTTTCTTGTTTTGATTTATCAATCTATATCTATAAAAATTTCAAAGCTAAGGAGTTGAATTCTTAGGTTAAAATGGCTAGCTAGAGAAATAGAACTCTTATTATAAAGGACTGGAAATACTTTACTGTCTTCTCAAAGATTCTCATTGGGCAGAATCTAACCCAAGACACTGTAAGTTGAGTGAGTTCACCCTTCCTGTTATTATAAAAAACTAGGAAGGAATGCCTCGACTTACATACACAAAGTTACATTAAAGTACAAAGTAAGAATAATTTATTCTGAGAACTTAATCAATGAAAACATTACAATGATTATGAATAAATAATTTAAATGACACTAATCTTATTTATTCTTACATAGATGGGAGTTTCTTCACAGTGGTTTGATTGACATTTTGTGCTGAAAAATCCTTTGTTAGGGGTGGTGTACTATAGAATATTTAGTGTACTATAGAATGTTAATGTACTAAGATTATAATCACTCATTTTATAATCCAGGCCATTTTCATTCTCCCAGTTGATCAATGAGTGGGAGCTAAAGAAGGCAGGTCAATGTCATCGGCTTTTATTCCTTTTATTTTAATAGCTAAAGTCTATTCACATCTCAGTTCAAGGGAGACACCTCCCATCAACTCAAGCACAAGTCTAAATATATTATGACCTTCCCATGGTAACCTATGAAAATCAATTCATATATCTAAACGGCTTATGATTATAATAACACATCTATTCTTACATATTATAAGAGAGAAAAGAAATAGAGAGATGAGTGTATGTCAACAAACCTGGACCTTATTATGCAAGTCTTTATATCCAATAAAATACTATCCAGCCATAAAAGAAGAGAATTCTGTCATTTGAAAGAACATGAACAAACGTGCAGGACATTATGCTAACTGAAATAAGCCAAGCAGAGAAAGACAAATAGAGTACTACACAATTGCACTCACATGCAGAATCGTAAAAAGTTGATCTCATAGAAGTAAAGAGTAGGATGGTGTTTACCAAAGGTTGGGGAGAAATTGGCCAATGACACATATTTAGAGTTCAATGGGAGGAGTAAGTCCAAGAGATCTATCATACGGTAGGGTGACTGTAGTTTGTGATGATACATTTTATTCTTGAAAAATGCTAAGAAATTGATATTAAATGCTCTTATCACAAAAATGATAACAAAGTGAAGTAATACATTTTTTAACTATCAAAAGCTAGCTTTAACCATCCCACAATGTATCTACACACATGATGTCTCCAGGTTGTAATGATTTGACTTAACAATTTTTTGACTTCATGATGGTGTGAAAGTAAGGCGTGTTTAGTAGAAACTGTACTTTAAATTTTGCTCTGTTCCCAGGCTAGTGCCAGGCTGCACAGAACTTTCTCATCACACTGGGCAGTGGAAGTGAGCTACAGCTGCCAGTCAGCTGTGCAATCTCCAGGGTAAACGACTCATAGACAGCCTACCACGTGCTGTGTTGCCAGTGTGGCAGGGTACTGTGTTTTGTATTTTCACATCCCATCATGTCTACAAAACAACCATTTTTGAATTATGACATTTTCAACTTTCATTGGGTTTATTGGAACACAGCTACATCATAAGGTGAGGAGCATTTGTATTTTGAAGTGCTATGTTGTACACAATAAATACATACAATTTTAAATGTCAAATAAATAAATAAATAAAATACAAAAATTAAGAAGAGAGAATGAAAAGAGACACTTTTCCAATTCCCTGGCATCTCTGTCACTTCATGTAGATGTTAGCAAAATGCATTTCCCCTGGCTGGTGAGTATCTTTTATAGATCTTTCCTGAAAAATCAAGCCATAACTTTAAAGTAGGGCTAAAAGCAATAAAGCAGGTCAGCAATCGAGAATAGGAAGGTATTTTCTCTTACTGTTTCCACTCTATAGCACTAAGATGAAGAGAGTGGTTATCTGAAGATATGATTAATACCCAATAGCCACAGGTAACAGATTTTCATTTTTATTTTTTATAGGATACAAAAGTCTAAGTTTATTTTATTTTAGAGAAAGGAAAGAGAGTGGGGGGAAGAGATGAGAACAAGAGGTAGGAGGGAGCAGAAAGCAGGGAAGAAGAGAAGGGAAGATCTGGATTTTCATTTTTGAATCTTTCTCTTTTAAGAAGATTGGTTTCTTGGCCGGGAGCAGCAGCTCACACCTGTAATCCCAGCACTCTGAGAGGCTAAGGCAGGTGGATTGCTTGGAGTTCCAATGCAGGAGTTCAAGATGCTGAGCAAGAGTGAGCGCCCATCTCTACTAAAAATAGAAAAAAATCTAGTTAGGTGTTGTGGTGGGCTCCTGTAGTCCCAGCTACTTGGGAGACTAAGGCAAGAGGATTGCTTGATCTGAAGAGGCTGAGGTTGCTATGAGCTATGATACCACAGCACTCTACCAAGGGCCACACAGTGAGATTCTGTCTCAAAAAAAAAAAAGAAAAGAAAAGAAAAAAATTAGTTTCTTGAGAAAATAGAGACTTTGGAAAACTGGTAACATACTAAAGAGAAAAATCCCCATTAGTTCTTATAATCTTGCCATCTAAGTATCTGATAGTTATAGCTAAGTAGCATTTGTTATCTAAATTGTTATTGTACTGAAAATGTATTGTGAATTTCTTTCTAGCATTTTGAAAATTATAGAAAGAAAAAGAGAGAGATTTATTAGTTTTAGTTTACAAGTTTTCAGAGATGATACATAACAAAATCAGGCCACTATTCTAAGTTTCCTGCTTGTTTTGAATTTCCAATCCTGGAATCTTGTGACCAATATTTTGATTATTATTAAGTGATCGATGCCTTGGAACTGTCTCCTGCCACACATAGGCTTGCAGCAAAATCACAC